ATAGATACAATTTAGATCTCAAAGAACTTGGATACTAAAATCTCTATAGTAGAGATTTTACCAAAGACTTTTTCCAATCATAAACTGTGAGTTTGGTTTATAAAAGGAAATCTAGTTTGTTTAGATGGAGATTAAATGAAACATTGTTACACAAAGAAGTAATAATAGTGGAGGATTGCAAAAAGAAATTAATAGAATTTTTTGAAAATAATTTCAATAAATGCACTGATTTAAGAATGGTTTGGAATGCAAGTAAATATTTTATTAGAGGTACAACTCTTTTATTAGAATATTATTACAACATAATACTGAACTCAAAAAGAAGAGGCAAGAGAAAACACAGGCTATTTTGGATAAGATAAAAAGAAAAGAATTATAGAAATCTCCAGGGGAGTTAAATATCTATCATCAAATTAAACTTTTACAGTGCTATTGATGTTAACAGTAAGAGAAATGGAAATAAAAATGAATTATGTAAACAAAAAAAATTAGATTTGGAAATAAACTAGAGAAATGGCTAGTGTATAAATTAAGAAAAGAAAAAGAAAATGATACTGAAACTTCAAGAGGGAGATATGGTATTAATGGACAATGTGGCTATATAAAAAGCATTTCATCAATATTATTCTAATTTAGATATTCCTTTGGAGAAAATAGATTAATATTTTCTAAGAAATCATCCAATGATTACAAAGAAACAATGACAGATTATGAATGGACGTATAACAATAAAGAAAGTTTCTGAAGTTATAAAAAAGATTAAACCAGGAACAGTGCCTGATGAAATTTAATGAAGTTCTTATGAAAAATAAATAAATAAAAGTACCTGGGCCAGATGGATTATCAAGTTCTTACTATAAATTTTTGAGGATGAATTGTTACAACCTCTACAAAATATGGTGTATTCTATTTTACAGGAAGGAAAGAGGGACAAGATTTAACAAGAAATTATAGACCAATATCATTATTGAATAATGATTATAAGTTGTTGACAATTATCTTAGCTGATAGATTGAAAATAATTTTGGAGGAATTTATTCATGAAGATCAATGCCCGTTTTTACCTTAAAAACAGTTAAAAGACAATGTCAGAACTATGCTGGATATTCTAGAACATTTGGAACAGTATAATGAAAAACAAGCTGCATTATTATTATTTTTTTTAGATGCAGAGAAGGCCTTTGATAATTTGAATTGGACTTTTCTGTTTAAAGTTTTGGAAGATATGAATTTTGGAAAGAATTTTATAAAAGGGCTAAAGTTGATTTATATTTCACAGAAAGCACATTGTTAATGGAGATCTAACAAAACCATGTGAGATACAAAAGGAACAAGACAGGGCCACTGTCTCCTCTTTTGGTTCTGGAAATTTTGAATAGAGACTTAAGACAGGATGAGAGGATTGTGGGAGTAAAAATTATAAAAAAAGATTTACAAGTTAAGAGCTTTTGCAGATGATTTGGTGCTGGTTTTGGAAGATCCTTTAAAGG